ATCATGTTTGGTCTCGTCCTCGGGCAAATGGGTGACAAAGCCATTGTCATGGTTCAGTTCTTTGCAATTCTCAACGAAGTGGTCATGCGCATGGTGCAAATAATTATGCTGTAAGTTTGTGTTGGCTCGAGATTCCACTTGCTTTTTAGACAGTCAAACACGTTTCATTTGCTTGGGGCTATCTGTGGAATAACGAACTCCATTTCCATTCAACACAAATAAAATTCACCGGTTAGACTGCCACTATAAGCAAAAAGTATTATGTAAAATATCCTTTTCCCTGTATTTATCTCATAAAGACAAGAAAACATATTTCCAACACTTATGGCATTCAATCGCACTGTCGAAGTACATTGCAACAATTAATAAAGTTGTACTTTGTAATTCAGAGTCAACTGATAAGATGACGTAGATGTGTTGATGAAAATAGCTTTATTATGCTTGCATGCTGATTCCCCTACAGATGGTGATACTATTCTATTTTATTCCGTCCTACAACAATAACACGTGCCGTAGATGGGTTCGATTGACCAGTTCCGCACTGAAACATAATTCCAGGGTAGTGTACGGCTATGTTGGTGCAGTTTGTTTAGGCTGAGAACGTTTTCCTCCCAATATTGTATTTATCACGAAATAATAATCCGTAACAAACGAAATTACCAGGTTTTTTGTAACCCTAACTAAGTGCGCCCTGCAAAAAAACAATCGTTGTTCAATACGTATTACATACTAAAGAGTTGGTTTTATTTTCCTGTATTACACCACGCAGATATTCGCCATTCGGTATATTTTTCCTTATTCTCGGAAAGATGCTGGAAATCGATAACTTGAAGGATACTGCTACATCCCTCGGATTGTACATGACAACAGTCGTATGTGGACTGGCGATTCATTCGTTGGGAACATTGGCATTGCTCTACTTTGTTATCACCAGAAAAAACCCCTACAAATTTTATAAAGGAATATTCCAGGTACGTAAGCCAATAATTTATAGAAAAACTAAGAAAATGAAAGTCTTTTCTATTCAGCAGTAGGCAACCATGAAGTGCTTGTAAAATTTTGCCCCGTCGTTCTCTTGGGACATGACAATGGACAGAATACCGACATCTCTCAAATGGCCTCCGTATCATAGAGTATTTATTTAGAGTGCTTTGAAGAAGAGCTTTAATGGAGGACCACTTTAATCGTAGTACATAATACTGTGATCTATAATTTGGAAGCATCAAATCTCTTGGATGTAAAACGTAATTTGACATCCAGCATAGGTGCATATGTTAAAAATCTATAATTTCAGGTTCTCAAAAAGAGATGCTATTGGTGGCAGAAGTTGAAGGAATCCTTCGTTATATCCCCTTCGCGTTCCCAAAACCAACTTTTGCGTGCGCTTAAGCTCCCCTGGCTAATGCACTTCAACGGGCTATACATCCTGGGTAACCTGGACGATCGGCCAAATAACCAAATAACTTTGATTAAAGTAAACTTTACATCCTGACCTGGAATAAAATCAATCGTTGTAGGTAATGAGACCGCGTTTCCCCTCCGCAAAGTAATTTTGCTTTAATTAATCAGAGATTTGCGTGATGGGTTTGTATTATTAGGAGACACCGAATACAAGTTTGTTTGCCATGCTGTGTTTTACTTGCATGTACCGTCAGGATACTGTTCAGAGAACAAATGCAGTCGGCTCGTCCACCTTTTTGAATGAAGTGCACCCCTTTTGTGTCTTAGGCTCGAAACATTAGATAGTGTGGTCATATCAAATATAAATGGCTAACGGAAGCAGTAAACACCAATACCTGAGCTGAAAACAGATTGCAGACGGCGTATGACGTAACGAGTATTGAAACGTGCCGGAAAACTTCATTGGGTTTTGGAAAGCTTATTATCAGAAAAACCAAACAAAAGCTTTGCCAATACCGTCCAATCGTGGAAACGACCTACCGATTTCATTAAAAAAATTCACTTATGTTACTGAGAAGCACAATTCGTTCGTGTGTGTATGTGTGTTTAGGTTTAAGTGAATACGAATGCATCTCGCCAAATAGATGCTACTGAGATTCGCGCAAGGGTAAGCACGTTCTGTTTCTAACTGTGCTTCATTCCGGGGGAGAACCATGGAATCCTATCGAATCACGCTATAATCGATTTTCAAGGTCTTAAGGCAAACCGGAAAGAATGTATAAGGACCATATGATCGCGGTGTGCAGCCAGGTTTCTTGAAATAACTATCTCAAGTAATAACTGTCAACAGTAGTGATAATGGGGTCACCATCAGCTGCAATCACCGAAACGTTGATCTGTTTTGACACAATACATGCCTGAATTTCTTCAACAAATCTAACGTACTCTCAATATAAACTTTATCCATCCATTTGATCTCAAGTCTTGTGTGTGCGCCTTGGGTTGTACGTCCACCCAAATCAGCTTTAAACGTATGATCATAAATCTGAAAACTACATCTTTAGTTCAACATTTTTCATCATTTCTCCGAAGCAATTCAGTCAAGAATAATTAAACTATCCACATCCTGTGCCACATTCGCCTGTTCAATTAATGTTTGAAGCACGATGATATAAACCGTAATCCAATACGTAGCAATCAGCCTACGAAGATAAAGATCGTACATCGGTTATCGGCTGCAAAGTGCCCAAACTGACGGCTTCGGTTTGTAAATCACGGAACTGGAAAACAATAACTGAAAAGTTGGCGTCCTAAAGGAAATTTGTCAGCTACCTGTGCTTCACGTAAACTCTTTTTCATCCAGTTTATTCAGTTAACCATTAAAATGTTATCTCTTGAAGTCTTTTATGTAACTTTTTCCATGAAATATGTTTGTCTACGTTTGCCGCACAAATACGAAATATGACTGAATTTTTGTAAACTCTGTATAATCCTTTGTGATGGGAGACAAAGAGCACTGATAAGCTGTTCCGATTTGATAGGAACACCGAAGTAGTGCTCCATGAATGAACCCAACTCACAAATTTCCTGGTTGGAACGTAAAGTCCCTTCGGTGAAATAATCCATCATATGGTGCTTTTAAACTAAGCATTTGTAAAGCACAAATCATTGGTTCTGGGGAAACAGGGTGTCCCAGAGACTGCAAACCACAAGAGGCATATCATCCGCATACATCAGAATCTGCTAACCTGCATGCCAATTATGAGAAGGCACAGAATTATTTACTCTTTCTTCGGTAAATGAGGACCTATATTCTAAGGTTTCCCGTCAGACTGAATCAACTCTTGCGGTGCCACTTGCGCTTAATCACAGACAAAACCAGTACTGAATGACTTCGCTAGAGCGTAAAATGGGAGGTGGAAGTTTGCATTTAAGGAATGGCAGAATGTTGTACATCATAGTGATTCTATGCTTTTTAACACTGTAAGGCATTTACCGAATCATGAGATGGTTCACGCTCTCCACTGCACTGTCTAAGATGCCAGAATTACATAAAGCTAAATAACCAGAATGTCTTCCTAGACCCAAAATACAAATCTCATTTTACCACTATGTGTTGTCGCATTTCATATGTAATGATTATCACCTTGTTGGTAACATGCCATTTGCAGTACACCAGGGCTTGTCATTTCATCATTGAACGGATGGTTTTATGTTAATCATAATAGTGAATCATAATCAACGGTTTAAAAACGGAAGCAACTATCTTTATCTCTCCTTTACTTATTATCCATCATCCCGATGTTGACAGATTTTAGTCAGATATTTCGAAATTGAATAACTTGTCATACACACACGTTAGTCTGGTTATTGGATGTGTCTTGTAATTTGCTTGTGGTTCATCTCCCGTTTTTGCCGACTAGGCGTGGATCACTGCGCTGGGGACCGCGTCAAGTGCAGCCACCTTGCCAATCACGTTCCGTTGCTTAGAAAACAATTTAGGCATCGACAAACGTGTCACGCGTTTCGTTCTTCCGATCGGGGCGACGATCAATATGGATGGGACAGCACTGTACGAAGCGGTTGCATCGATCTTCATCGCTCAAATCAACGCTAAAGACCTGTCTGTAGTCGAAGTTTTCATTGTCAGGTGAGTCTATGCGCTCAAGTTCAATTTGGGCGTGTTTCGTTTTTGCTCCTTACATCCACGTCCATTTTGTCCACGGTTTTCCGGATAAAAACTACCTCGCTGGAGGAAGTGAAATGTGCGTATATTTGTGTTGAAAAAGGAAAGAACTGGTAACTCCTGTAATTTATTGAACCAAGCTATACCAAAAACGTCTGACTCAAAGCACTGTGTTTAAGTTTAAACAAGTCGTACATTATCATTGCGTGTTCTATTCACCTAATATTTCATAAACCGCTTCCACCAACATATAGGAATCAGTTTCTGAAAATTCCCATTTGGAGACTACCGAAAGTTATAATGTTCTAGTAGCACCTTTCGCTGTTTCGAAACAATTTTGTGATAAAAACGAAGCGTTTAAATTTGACTAAAGTTTGGCGTATGATTCACCTATTTCAGTTATTTTTCTTTTACAATTCGGTGATTGTAGCAAATCAGAATTCGTCCGAAGCATGGGCTGAAAAGCACCTCATTGGTTGGATCTAAAGGAGTTATCCAAAAAGTCATCCTCGTTCCTGGGACTCGAGTTAGATTTGAGATCAGGGCAGCCAAAAGGATCTAAGGAGATCGCCTTCGTGAGCAAAACTTTACGTTTGCCGGTGGAATATACACCGCCTCGGTAGTTGTGGATACACTGTGTTTAGATATAGCGATGTGTCTTTGATGAATGCCATTGTAGTGTTTTATATGCTTCAACAATCTGCGACACGATTTCTGTTCACACTTTGGAACGTGTAAAATTTAAGCAACGTATATTTTTAACACTATTTACTCAATGGTTTGAGACAGTCATTCTCTGATTTGTTGTCCCATATCGACAGGTATACACTTACATTGGTTTACTAACGGTGAATTAACCATAGTATCCGAAAATTTTAAATCAAATCTTTGGGAAGAGTTTCTTACGTCTCTAATACGCACCCGAATTCCCTGATCTTTTAGGCCAATCTCATAGCCGAACATCTAGTTATTCTGTCCCAACGAATGTTCAACCAAGCAACACGTCCAGAAACATAGGAACAAGGAATTATTTCGCCCATATATAAAGGTGGCTGCCTTAGTGACCCCGCCAACTATCTACCTGTCTCCTGCTTCCGGTGCTATCAAAAGTCATGGAATCAATTGTGGCAGATTCTCTGTCGGAACATTTCAAAAGGTACAAAATTCTTTCGACAGCCCAATGTGGGTTCAGGAAAAAGCAATCCTGCTTCTTGTTGGAGATGAATGGACTGGAACAGCGGACGGAAAAGATGCTGTGATTTATCTCGACTTCTCGAAAGCATTTGATCGGGCAATTCATAATATTTTGCTACAGAAGCTCTACAATTATGGCATTAGAGATTTCGTGTTTGATTGGATTAGAGCTTTCCTCCGTCAACGGATCATATAAGTTCGTGTTTCTGATTCCTTATCCGTATCTATCAACGTCATCCGCGGTGTTCCACAAGGGTCTGTNAGGGTCTGTACTATGCCCTCGTTTTTTCCTCACATTCATAATTTATGTACCGAATGTGTTAGTTTTGAAAGCCATACTGTTCGCAGACGATGTCATGATCTGGAATACAGTAAAATAATCTGGTGGCTCTCTAAAACTTCAATAAACATAAGAGGTAGCTTATCAATGGTTAGAGAAGAATGAAATTGAATTGAATGTGTCTAAATGCAAAATCCTATCCCTACGCCGCAAGAGAAGATTCCCGTATTTCCTCGGGAATCAGCAGTTTCCACATACTTCAAGTGAAAACGACTTGTTGTTCAAGAAGATTTAAACTGTTCGATCAACTACGGTAAGACTTGGTCCGCTGCAGTGAAGAATGTAGGCTTACTTAGGCGAGTCTGTGGTCAGTTTGAATCAACACTGTTCCGACGTTTGTTGTCAGTGTACATTCGACCGTACAAAGAGTAAGCCATTCGAGCTTGGAGTTCATGGTGGCAAGGTGATCGTAAGATGCTGGAGTGTGCACAAAGGATGGCCACGAAGAAGGTCAAGGCATTGAATCGCCTCACCTATGAGGAGGAGTTACGATCATTGGGAATTTCTTCTACCCAGTGCCGCCGAATTTGGGAAGACTCGACTTTTACATATCAAATACTGCAGAACCCAACCGATCCATGTCGGCCACTGCTTATGTTATCGAACAATATACACTTTGGGGGACACCATTTCAAGTTAATGATTTAAAAGTGTCGACCAGGATGCGGGCACCAGTCTTTTGCAGTCAGAGTATGCAGCACTTAGAACACCCTTCCATGTCATGCTGGTGGTGCACTAACTAGTGAATCCTTCAAGCGGTGACTAGATGAAACCCTGGTACATCTCGCATTCATACACAACTAAAAATAAACGCAAATTAGCTGAAGACCGCATTATCCCTTATCTCCTACCTGGAACCCTATATTATTTGTTGGGGCTTTTGGGGGTTCATATGAAATTGTACTGTTATTAAAAATATAAAATATAAGGTTTAAGATTAGCTTTGTTATCTGACCTAGATTAGCTGAGTTTTGGAGGTAATAAAATGATAAACTCAAGAATAATCTAAACAAATAAAAACCGTCCTAATCTTGTATGCTGTGGAACTGGTGCATTATTGATAAAAACCGTGACTAAAAGATAGCAATATTTAAAACGATAGACACACCTAATGTCTAGGACCTTGATTTTCACACAAGCAATTTGTAGAATAAGTATTAGGCTTTTATGCAGTAATAGGGTTGTTTGAGCTAAGATAGCGTCTCGTTGTAAAGTTTTTGATGAAATGGCGCAGCTACTATGGATGCCGATTGACGAAATTGTATGGAATGTTTACTTTCAGGAGATTTATTATCAATCCGTTATAGGCCGAAATCATGCATAAATCCATGAGCGGTTAATTTTTTTGGTAAACAACATTTCCATCACCAATGCTTTTGATGAATGCGCACCTAGAATGTGTCCATCTAGCTCTTTTCAATACATTGAAAATAACTATTGGTTCATAGACCTTACGTAAAAATGATCATTTTTGATTCGATGTGGAATTTGAATTAGACATCCCGGCAGATCACGCTGTACCGAAACATGTGTCATGTCATGTACATTTCTTTTTCTCAAACGGAACAGCCAATTGCATCCTGTGATGAACAATAAATGCAATACCTGATAACGAACAGTACACTACACACCTAGCTTTTTAACGGGGGAGGTCAAATTGGGTTTTGTAAACGTGAATTGTATGTTTTGGGAAATAAAAATCACTGCCGTCATGTGAATGAGAGCTAAGCGATTGAGAAAGTAAATTCACTCCGGAGATTGTGTTTTGTGTTCAATTTGTTTCAAACACTTTCGAGCAGAAAATGTGGTAACCTTGGTAACAAACGGTATTTCTCTGAAAACGTGATAATATAAATTATTTACTTCAACTATTTCAATTTGAAAGCACGGAAAATTCGAAAACGACTTTTGTGTTGGCTACAAAAGTATCGGGGTTATCCATCACAATTCAATTATACCAGTAATTGTCCTTTGTTGATGGACTAATCAAAACTAGTTTTGATGTAACTAACTAGTTAATCTTATACTGATAAATGCCACAATCGTCAAAGTCGAATCTGGATTAATAGAGGGTTGCTTGCAGCAACAGTTCTTATGAGTTCAATTAAAATGTGGGTAATGTTCGACTGTCATTCATTGTAGAAACCGTTCGAAATCAATTAATGTGATATTAAAATACATTGCAGTAAGCGACTGATAGTCAAAGAATGTATTTCCGAATGATATTCATATAATGAGAGATAATTTGTTACAATGTTTCATTCAATATCATTCTCTAGTCTATACTATTTCTATTCGGATGATAGTTATTCATTCGATTGTGAGAACAGTTTCGCAAACAAATCAATTCATGAATGGGATGTCAGTCAGATGAATTTTGTTTATAAACCGAAGTTGTTTTTGTTTTCTCGATTCTCAAGTCAACTTCTAATCGGATAGAATTTTATCAGAGCAATGCAAACGCCTTAAGCGGCTTATCAGAGATTCCCGGTCAACTCGATGTGCTTGATAAAAGGTCACGTGGGCCACTCATTATCTTCGTTATCTGATTCAAGGTTAACCCAACGGAACGAATCAGTAGGCAGTGAGTGATTGTTACAACTGAACTCGGAAAAGTGTTCCTGATCCGTTTCTAGATGCGTTCGGAAGCTCAAATACACAAACCTGTGTTATTCAATTAACGATATCAAATCCTTTGGGGGTTGACGTTACATTTGTTAATTTGTGTAGGAGTTTTGGGATCTGATGCGTAAACATGTTTACGGAAGCTGTGTGACGGAATATGTCGCTTTGGTTCTGAATATCTGCAAAATGGATTAGACCAATTTTCTTTCGAGGCAAAACGCTTACTTATTTGAGAAACCTAAAGTAAAACCTCGAGTTTCGTTAAGGAACAAGGATACTTACTCTCACGATTAAAACCCAACACTCGGCCTCAACAAATGGTTCTGTGAAGCATTGATAACATTGGTTAAAACTATCGCACTTTACTGACGTACATGGATGAAAGGATAATAAATGTGCCTGACTGTAATGGCCTGGTACACCTGATGTACGTTAGTTTCTGCACGTATGACTCACGTAATCAGCCTGAAGCACTTGATGATTTCTGAGTACGTTGATTATAAGCAGTGTGAAATTGAACAGCGCACAATGCGGACAGACAATTCCACTTAGTTGTGCTAGCAAACTTGGGAGAATAGCGGTCCGAAACCAAGTGTAATCCAAAGAGACATTCTAATTTCCCGATTACCTGAAATGTGAAGGATGGACTAAACATGACTTATATAGACAGAAGAATCAGCTTGAAAATTGGTGTGCGGTAGTTGCTGCGTAAGTTCCTGTGAAGGAGAAGGTTTCAGCCATGTTATCTTTGCGAAATTTATATTCTTTTAGTCCAGAATCACGAAAGATAGCAATAAAAACAGAAAAAAGGGACACTCCTGAGGGGTATATTTTCTTCTCTTGTGTTGAAAGCAACGCCGTGGTGTACAGATATAATGTCATGGTCAAGTCAGATTAACGTGTATTTGAATTTTCAAACAAAACAACACAGTGGCGAACAATCTCTTTCTTAGTGACGTCTAGTTATGCCAATATATTGTTATTTGTTCATGTTGCTCCTGGAATAACATTGACACAAATATCTTGATGATTATTTCATGGTATTGTGTAACATGTTGCAAACCACATTGGAGAAGGCATTTCCTTTGTTCGTAGTAGAAGCAATTTGCCTAGAATAAACTCAGTTTTGCATGATTTACAAGGTGGGTGTTATACCGTAATTGTGGTGTTCGTTGGAGCATGGAATTATTTATTAGTTTCATTAACCAGTTTCAAGAAAAATTAGTCTGTACTTTCACACTGCAAACCTTGGCAATTTAAATAGCTCAACCTGTTGTATGTTGTGCTCAGGCCCCCAGTTCTCACCACTCAGTTCACCTAAACATGGATTGACTTACTCGGCCCCCGGTTTATTACTGTTTGGGACGAAGCGGTAGTCGGAGCAGAACAATTCCTCATCCTGCCCGACCGTCAGTCCCGCGAATGTAATTGCAAAAAACCAAAACCTATCATTAGTCTCGCGGATCGATCACGAGCACTTTTGGCGACATATCGGATCCGGCAATCTGAGACAGAACACATAAAAACGTATTTCTCATTTTTTTCTTTTCTTGTGAAGAGAAAAACTTTGAAGCAATCAGGGATCAATTTTATCATCTCTGGATCGCTATTTCGTTTTCTAAAAATCCTTTTAATAGAAATACGCATATTATGTGACCGATAACAGAAATTTTGTCCGAAGGAATTCCGTTGTGGCTATTGTTTCGATATGGATTGCCTTACAGTTGGAGTCCCTGTCTGTAGTACAAGCGATCCAAACTAAGCCCTTGATTCAGCTTCTTTTCCAAACATTTTCGGTAGTTCTGATTTTATTTCTGTAAGCGTAGCCTCCCCGCGTCTGTGTTTGGAGATACTTTAGACGAAGATCAGGTTCTCAGTCCACCATAAATTGACAAATGTAATTGCTTTCAGCGATAAGCATGCAATTCGATTGCAATTATTTTATATTTATAACGCTACTTAAATAGTTAGTTCCAACTGTTTTTCAAAACTGATCCACCATTCGTTCATGACGGGAAATTAAACGATCCTGAAAATTTGTGATTCCTGACTAGTACGCCAGACCACATTTAATGATACACTTCCGATAAACTTCAGTATACCGACAGCCTCATTGTCATTTACTCCGCACTGAGTAAATATTGACACAATAAGTTCTAATAATGACTTCCAAATGACGTACTGAAACAGGATCATTTTGTAGAATTTCTGAAAGTGAATGAACTCCTGTTTGTAGAAATTGAATACTGGGACGTGAATGAATGTAGTTCAGTGAAATTCGTAACAGCTTATTTTCAAGCGAATATAGCTTTATTCATAATTTGCGCAAAGAAACGGAGTCGTTCGCAGCGAACAAAAAGTGCATGTTTGTTGATCGATAATACGCACAGGTCACTATAATGAAAAATGAGAGATGGGTGACAAAGCAGACTTGTGGGTGAAAACGTGTGGAGGATGGCAAACAGATTCAACAACGAACGTGTAATGCACAGTCTAGTTGAGAATGCAGAAAATTAGTAGTAGTGAAGATCTTAAGTAATTTATATTATTAAATTATATATATGATTAGTTTGGATGTTGTCTTAAATTCGGTCCAGTTCTTATGTCAATTCAAGTGAAGTCAAGAGTGTACTTTATTCGTCCAATATGGACAGAACGTTCATTGACAAGAATTTTTTCCCATTTTTTGGTATACACGCCATTATCTCAAAGTCACGAAGTGATAAACAGACATACGAAATGTTTCAAACCAGGAGCATCTGTGCCTGTCCCATCTTGGAACCGGTTTTAAACCTGATCACGCTTAGCTAGTGGCTAATGAACGAATCCAAAAACATCTTACTTTGATTCACCAGGTTTTTTTCAGATTTTTCAAATCTAGAATAACGCCCTACAACGGAATTGCTATTCGGCAGCTAGAAGAATAGATGATAGGGTGCTACAACTTGGCGACATCTGCTGAGGTGTAAGGTCACCCCACATAATCTAAAGCATATCGTTCTGCAATACGGATATGTCTGTCAGGTGTTCCACGGATTGGAACTTCACTATGTTCTGGCATATTGATTTCAATGAATATTCAATTACTTGCAAATGCATGTGCTTAAGAAACTATGATATGTAGAAGAATTTTCGGGAGAAGTTAAGCTCGCCAGATTTTATGTATGAATCCACAGGGTACATTATTCAGAATAAAATATTCCTTTTTTAAGCATGGTATCGTCATCAACAGTGATACAAACCCGCGCGAAATAGCTGTCAAAATAGTTGAGATGGGTAAAAGAACACAGAAAACTCATGAGTTCTGTTGGGCTACCGTTTCACTGGAAACCCAATCCGACTACTAATCTTTTCACTGAATAATCATCAGTCGCTTGTGGCACAACTCCGATCTGTAAATGCCAAATTCTAGTTATCTGTGGATACATTTGATTATGCTATCTTTAGAGCATTGGTTGTCACCACTGTTGGTGCATTTTACGACGGTCCATGTGTTGACCCAACTCATGAGCGTACACATACATATGTGCTTAGTTGACAGCTGAATGTCCTAAACAAGGTCGGCCGAAAAGCCCGCTTACCTTATATGTGTCCACTGCCTTCAATCACACACGATTTACCCACTTCTCAAAGAGAAACGGACTGTTTTCATTCTTATCAAGTCAGCTCGCTGGCTGGAACTATCGGCATACAAACATTCGAAGATTGTTTCTTGACAGCTTCCCGATAGTCTGAGTGGCGCCACGCATCAGACTCTTCTATAATGCTCTCACTCACTCATGTATTATCTATTACAGAAATGCTTTTTGAACTCCCCGATTAACTATGCGATAGTCTTATGAAGTTAGATGATCATATTTCGTGGGCTACTTTTTGGACCAGTTGATGCATTATCAATAATGTGGATTCATAATGATCCCACATATTGTACAGTAACACATAATAGAACATAGAACCGCACTCACTAGGGTTTCATCGCTTGAATAGGCCGACTTACTGTAATCTGCTGGTTGGGAAAAGCGGTCGCTGTCAGGAAACGATTTAGACATAAACTATAATTGCATATTCTTATTCCATAATAAGCATAATGTACGGTAAGGTAGTGAACTCCATCAGCAATAGAACTGCCGTCAAAAGAGACTGGTGAATAATTCGCCCAGAACGGCGTTTATCCATTCTGCATTCGCACTTTTGAAGAACGTGATTAGGAGAACAAATAGTTTTGAAAACGTTCCCGGGTTTTAGAAGAAAATAACACGATTTCATATATTACCGTAAATGGAGTCTTGCGAACAGTCCTTTTTCTTCCTCGAATGTACTGATTAACTTACCTGGTGCATGCAGAAAAAAACAAGAAAAAATAAAGTAGCATCATGCACTAACGAAAACTTAAGTGGCCCGAGAAACGAGCTCCAAAAGACACTATTCCAGTGTCCTAGACGAAATCGAAGAAGGTGCTAATGAGATGAAACTTGAGTGGTTAAGCAGTCGCTTTGGACGTACTGACGACGAATAAATTACTTTCAGCACTTTCAAATAATAAACAGGAAACACCAAGGTTTTACAATTGTTTAAACTGGCCGTCTTCAATAAGACCACAATTATGTTGCGAGAATTTGGCATGGCCAAGTCTGTTTGGCAAACACATCAAATAAACAATTATATAACATACAAAAATCACTAACACATTTCGCAAATGAAAGTAACCATTGCGTACTGTAGTCCACGGACTGCTGTCGAAACACTCGGTTGGATGGGGAATCGTTGCTGACGATGCCCACTGGTTACCACCACTGGTTCATCATGGTTGAGATTCTCGCCTTACTTTTAGATCGAACTGGAGTCCAGTTATCTGCTATCAGACTGAGTCTCAGAAGTAAATTTGATCATTATCAATATCATTAGGGTTGACACATTACCTCAACCAAAGTAAAATTATCGAACCAAAATGTAATATGTATTGGCGAATTACTTTTGTGAGCAAATATACCCACCTGGAATCAAGCAAATGATGAACCTTACAGAGCACTACAAGGAAACGGATAATAAAACACATTTGTGAAATTCAGTTTCACAAAAAGCAAAATGAAAATCATCCAATTTTAATGATGAGAGAGTGACCTAGCAGCGTTTTGAGGAAACTATGAGAATGAGATTGTCTACTCATCGATGATGAACTTCTTTAACATATACCATAATGTAGGTTCGCCTACCTCCTCCCCGACGCATTCACATTCGGCTTAACAAAGTTTACATTTGTAAGGGTGAGAGGTTAGAAAACACTCGCCGATTGATTGCTAAAGTCATTGCTCCAGCAAATGCATACAATTGAATACAATCCATATTAGAGTACTGACAATATCAAATGGTCGAATCTTTTTAATCGTCCATGACCGTTTCTATTTCACTCTCTTCACAGCCTTACGGCAACTCTGGCAGCCATCGGAGCGGCCAGCGTACCTAGCGCGGGACTCGTAACAATGATGCTAGTTCTAACCTCTGTCGGTCTGCCAACAAAGGATATCTCACTGATTCTTGCTGTGGACTGGCTCTTGTAAGTGCCCAAATATTGTCACTGATCGCTATTTTCCATTGGAATTTGTGTATCTCCCTCTCTCCTCCTAAATGTATTCAGTCGTAACTTTGACAAACAACATAACCAACTGTGGAACGCAATGCAGAACAAGAATCGCGATTGACATCACTGTTTTCAGGTGAAAGATGCACACCACTAAACGGCTCAAAACTGTTTATATTGTTGTTTATTTGTTTTTATTGCTCTAGCATCAGTGCACAAACCAACTGTCTATAAGTTTCAGTCAATCTTTTATTTTTCCTCGCATGTTCATAGTTAGGTAATAAACAATTTCTGATATGTTCATCAGTCTTGGTGGCAGGAAAACGGTATCAGATTCGTTCCTGATATTTGACTGCACAACAAAAGTTAAGAGAAATCGTAAATTAATGGACAGAAAGATAAACGTCCCATGTTATCCTGTGCGCACTACACCATCATATGGAGGCGCTCGCATTCTTAACTTGTTACTTACGATTCTAGTCTTGTATTAACTACTCATTATCGATCTCAAAGATTTTAAACATTTATTATGGGAATAACTTACAAGCTCATGCTTTTCTGGTCCCATGGGTTCGTGCGGTGAAGTAAGAAACAGTGATACATACAGTTCTTTGTGTAAAATGTCACGTTTCCCACTGCTTCACGCAGCTCACTTATGTTGGAACGTAAGGTGTGCCAGTGTTTCATCGAGCCTTAGTTTGAAAGACTCAATGCTTGGAGCACAGACGACGTAGGATGGTAGAGAGTTCCAGGTCGAACACACTCTAACTGCGAATGACTGACGCCGGTATTCCAAGCGGCATTTTGAGATTACTAGTTTAAATGGGTGTCCTTTACGATGAACGTTGGGTGATAATTTCAGAAGCGGGCGACACGGATGACTTAGGTTTTGCATTATTTGGTATACCATAATCCTATCTCCTCTGATGCGCCGGTAATGATGGAAATATAATCCCAGTGACTTCAGTCTCTCTTTGTATGAAAACCGATTCAACCCCGTTACCATTTTTGTGGCCATCCTTTGTGGACGCTCCAGCATCTTGCAATCAGGCTGTAGCCATGGATTCCAGGCCTGGATAGCGTATTATGTGAGTGGTCGAATGTATGCTGATAGTAGGCGGGGTAATAAAGCTGACTCAAACCGGCCGAAGACCCGCTTAAGCAAGCCGACATTCTTTATAGCTGCTTTGGACACCTTGGTGTAGTTGTGTGAGCAGCTTAAGTTTTCTTGAATGATGATACCCAGGTCCTTCCCACTTGTGGCGTGTGGCAGTTGTTCATTTCCGAGGAAATATGCAAATCTTCCCCTGTGCCGTAGAGATAGAACCTTGCATTTTGGCACATTGAATTCTATATCGTTCATAAGGGACCACAGATGATCTGCATTCAACGTTTCTTGGAGTGTCAGTTGGTTGCGTTACTGTATTCCAAATTTTGGCGTCATCTGCGTCATCTGATTATTATTGTTTGCATTTTCCACCATCTACCTATCACAAACATTGCATTCACATACTCAAAGCGATCTCAGATCATGATATTAATATATAATAACTAATAGAACTTTACATATGACTACCTGAAGCGATAAATGAAAAATAAGTTTATCCACTTTTTCACCTTTTTCTCAGTCTTTTAGTTTTTGTCTTTTTCACTTCCTTTTTATATTTATTGAATATACAAATGTACAATCAACTTTCAGGAAGGGGGCTGCGGCCATACAAAGGCTGCCTGGGGAAAATACAGTCATAGGGAAGGCGGGCGGCGATGGAGCAGTTTGAACCCGGAACACCCAGGTCACTAGTTGGTGATATAACCATTTGGCCCAATAATGAGAATACTAGTAGTGATTTTGTTTATTGTTCTTCTGTGGATTTCAGGGATATCCACAGGAGAATTCGGAGCACCTTCTGCGTTTACGATATTCATCGCAATCGGTGGAAAAATAAGAGCTATACGGAAGACTAACACCATATGGGATGCAACTGGTGACTGGCTGTCTTATCTTGTTTACTATATATGTATTGAACTCCGAAAACGGTTATGCACGCTGTGAATTATCCTTCTACATAGACTCACTCCATCAGTTTGGATCATTTGAGGTCACGCCGGATGAATCGCATAGGTGATTTTCACTTATTTGTTATACGTGAGTTAATGTCACGAGGGCAACTGACGGCTCTCATCACCTCGTAGGATCCTATATCTTCTTGTGGTTGTGGTTGCAACTTATCCACGCCGGGGATCTATAGTGAAAACTCCCTTTGGTGAATCACTGTCACGAATTATGCTGTCCGTACATTAATCTTCACGTCTTAAACTTCCCTACCCCACAATTAGAATCATTTTCCTTCACCTACCATGTTCCATGAGTCATATTCTGGGCTGCTGTTAGCTGGTAGAGGAAGGACCGGCAGCTGAATTTCTTAACTCGAGTGTTGTTCTTATTATAAAGGTTATTCAACTTTGTATGATATTTATAAGGTCTCCGTTGTATTTCCATATGTGATCACGAGAATAACTTGTCCCCTATCACATGCGTGTCCATTCACCATTATTCATTAACCACATGACCAATTGAACAAAAGTGCTTTTCCCAGAGGCATTGCACTGATCAAAAGATGTGTTCAGGCCTAACCACATGACAGGTCAAACATCAATCCACCAGATTTTACTTTCAATAATGGGTTTTCAGGGTATAACTGTAAACTATCAGTAGTTTCGTCTATGTTTAAAATAAACTTTGCGCCCGTCCATGATTATCGTGATTGATTTCTTCACCCCGGGAAACGTTCCTTTGGCTTAGAAGTCTTGCATGCAACCAACTTTATATGTATATATAGTAATATGTATTAATGTTTTGAAATGGCTTATATTATCACTTTACAGGGACCGAATTCGAACTTCAATCAATGTTCTAGGAGACGCGGTTGGTGCCGGGATAGTGGACCACCTTTGTCGCAAAGAATTAGCCGAGAAGGATGCTGAGACTGAGAGAGAATTAGATGAAGCAGTTGAGGAGTTCAGCAAACGTATGTCCCTTCCCACCTCCACGGCTGCTGGAGACCAGACAATGCCCACGGATCGTCGTCGATGGAGTAAAAAGCGAATGAGTGTAGCTGCGGCGATGAAGTTGCAAGAGAATGTATCTCCATTGTCTAGTGCTATTCCTGCAGCAGCGATTGTTGATCACGGATCCCCTTCCAGGAGTCAACCATACACAACAACCGAACCGGTTGAAGATATCGATGCATAATATACTTAGATAACGTAGAGATAACTAGAACATTATAATGTCTGATGGAACACCGTCAGCTCTTGTACACTTTAGTGATTCAAGTTGTTCAAGTTGTCAAACATAACCACAGTTAGTTTATATATGATGAAATTACGGCATTGGCCGATTTCTCAAGTTCACGTAATTTGAGAGATTATGTACTGTGTTCAATCTCTCGCCAAACGAGTTTGTTCACAATTGACGACTTATCAACCGATCAATCTATACTAATTCTGACAAGTTGCTTAAATGGATCGTGGTGACAGGGTATTGTGTGCGTTTCTTTGAACCCTATAGACAATAAATTCGATCCTGTTTTGCATATCCTTATCTGTATCTGTGCATTTGCATGACAGCACTTGCGCTGCTATGCACAATGTGAAACCTATATACAATCGTTTTGCTACACGGTGCACACGTGTCCACTTCTGATAATGCACAGACGCTCAATTATATTTGTCTTATATTAGGATTGTTGCTGTTGTTGTTGTGTCTTCTCCTCGGGTGATCTGCGGCATCCTTTATGACCGTCTTCCCCCAGGTTGCTTCCGTGTGGTCCGAGTCAACGTACCTCCATATTGTGTTCTCATGATTCTGTATTGTAACACAATTTTTCGCTTCTCTGCAAACTTACTCCGACCCCCGATCCCCTGTCCGGAAGAAACACGTGCATATGCGTTCTTTCTGCTTGTCGATCGGCCTGTCTGTCTGTCTGTCTGCGCTTGGCTATTTTTTTTTCTGTTTCGGTCCGTTGTTAACGCCCTGCTTATTCTGAACTTATCATTTTATCCGCATTTTTCTGTATGTATATAAATAATAAACATCCAAACATTCACCATATAAATAAAAATAATCGTTCAAATTGCTTGGGTAAAGTAAATCTTCAGTAAACATTTGAATCATTTGAACAACAATGACCCTACAGCTAGAAGTAAATACCTGGCTAGGAACAGCTTGTTTATGAGATTTTAATTTTCTCCCATTATTTTATTCAATATTATATGTTGAGATGATTACTCCTGTTCAGCCATCTCCTATGTAGTTGTATTACCGAACGGGGATTGTTTATCAAGTAATATCAACAATGGATGAAACGATTCACCTGCAGGCGGTATATTTTCCTGGAGCCGTCGAACATTTGACTGTGTTGTCCTTGAAAAATGAATACAGTCGCGAGCTGCCGTTGCAGACAAAAATCCATGCATGATTATCGGTAAAATGTCAACGCTCAGTTTGAAAAATAAAAGTGCGTGGGTATTCCAGTTAAAGTTTACATTTCATTTTTAGTTCACCTAATATTGTACCAAGAAGTTTGTAAATGTGATACCATGCGTGTTGAATTGCTCTGTACCAAGACTTTCTTTCAATTTTTCTGGTTATTTTTTCCTACCTTTTATACAATTTTCAGGAGGGGGGAACAGCCAATCAGAGAGCTACCTTACAACAAACAATCGGGAAGCCAGTTGTTGTTGTTGGTGGTGGTGCTGGTGATTATGGTGCTGGTGATGGTGGTAGGGATCTAAACACAGATCTTCCGGAGTGATAATTTGGTGAATGCACATCCAGGCGACCACCGCCCTCAAACTTAAAACCGTACATGAAACAAAAGTCAAGTATAAATCTAGTCATGTAACATGGTTAACTTGTAAGCAAAACCTCGTTATCTACCAAAGGTAATAGCTCAAATTTTTTTGAACAAGTGATTCGTCAATGAAAATATGGAGAATTGACCGACCGCATTGTATATTGTACATTGCATTCATGCTCGGACGTTCGCTTAACAGTAGGGATCCCAACTGCAACACTGATTCTCTACAGCACTCCTCTCACTGTGACCCCGCCCCCTTTATCTGTATCTTTCCTTATTCGAATTGCAGTTAACTGCTTATTGTTTGAGAGGGAAATGTTACAAATCTGTTGTTCCGTAGCCACACATGAAACTTACTCATTGGAGACAGATAGGCGCCGATTCAAATTTCAAAACCATTCACACCCTTATCCGACGTCGATCATTACAACTGAGAATTTTAGTTTTTATGATTTGTTATGTGTTCAAGTTAGGTATGTTTCCTTCAACCATAAGAATTTTTCCTCCTCTGTTTTATTCTCTTCGTGCACCAAAAATAGCCTGCACAAAGACTGTAATGCCCAATTCGCCATCCACGAGTGTTAGGAAACTCCACAACAAGGCAAATCAGACCGAGAAGCGCTAACCTTCGGTATCACAATCACCATTGGTCAACTTGAAAACTGTTGCTCCTGATCTACAGAGAAGGGCACGACACCAGGTATCCCAACACTTTCCTAGTATCTCTCTGTCTTCCTTCTGTGCTCATTGGATCGGGATTCCGCCATACTTAAACTTAATCTATAATTTATCATATATTCTAGTGAACACGTTTGACGATTCGTGTATACCCGTGTGACCCTCGTATGGTTTAGCGAGGCGATTGCTACCTGTGAGAGATCCATTAAAGATAATAATTTGTAAAGACCACTCTCGTTGGATCTATTGCGTTTATTGTTCACTTTTTTGTGTCCAGCAAGCATGACGTTTCTGATTGGCTTACAAACGATTGCCTTAGTGTGTGTGCACTTCAGTTACAGCTTCAGTTTGTACAATCATTAACCATGCATTATCGTGCGCCGGTTTTTTGCTGTTTTTAGCCGCCGATTTAGATGAACATTTGGCGAAAACAGGAAAAAATTGAAAGTAGAATTGAAGAGAAAATTTAGAATTTCAGTGGATTAATCTTGCAGAGAAATTGACAAGATGCAAGAACGCCATTGTTTACCACACGCAATCATATCAATTATTATATCTAACCATCGGATACGATTATTCCGAGGTCTCCATCTAGGGTGCCTAACAGGACCTATGTGACCCACACTCCTGGTTAAGTTTTTCATGCCCTCATGTCAGGTCTTAGTTTAACCACACTTGGCTTTCTTCCAATCAGTACTTGCCTCGGCGAACATCGCTCGCCTTGTTATCCTATTTGGTGCCTTGCGTAATACATATCCCAAACAACGTAATCTATGGAGGTCGACCATTTGCTTCAGTGGGCGATCGCATTTACGTACAACTCTGTGCTTAACCTCAGCATTGCTCGTCCGGCTGCTCCACCAGATTCGTGCAATGCTGCATAAACAACGGTGTTCAAACACCGACAGTTTATCTTTACCTGACTTTCTTATTGTCTAGTTTCTGCGCCGTATAGCAGAACTGGTCGAACTGCCGCAGTACACACTTGACCCTTCACAGACAGTCGAATTTCGCGACGGTGCCACAGATTTCTCAAGTTGGCAAACGCCAATCGAGCCTTATGTATGCGAGCTGACACTTCATCCGTGATGAGTCCACCGGGTGAGATATAGCTGCCCAGGTAACAAAACGTAATCACTTGCTCTATTACTTCCGCAGTTAGAGTAAAACTGGGTGCTGGACCAACCCAGTCTTGTGGCAACATTTTACACTTTCCAGGTGCAAAACGCGTACCGAACATGGCTACACTAGCACTCAAACTTTCCAGAAAAGCTTGTAACACACATGATTCTTCCCTTAGCAGCACAATGTAGTTTGCATACTCCAGATCAAACAGCTTTCCACCTGGTAGTAAATCGATGCCACTATCCTCGCACGAGGATAGGGCTGTTTCCATGATCAAATCTATAACAATGTTAAATAGAAAAGGAGAAAGAGGGTAACCGTGACGAACACCACTTCTGTGATGAACTCGGGCGAAAAAGTGCCGTAAGCTTGGACTCGCCCTGGGTTATTAGTATAAAGAGACTGTAATATTGAAATCAATTTCTCCGGCACAACTTTCAGAGAAAGGCAGTTCCAGAGTTTGGGGCGGTTGACAGAGTCGAAAGCCACTGTAATATCAATGGAGACATTGATGGTGGGTTGGTGCTCCAGAGTTTGGCGAAGAGTGAAGATGTGGTCGATACAACCTTGACCTGGTCTAAAGCCAGGCTGGTTCTCACGCGTGCACCGTTCACGTGCCGCGGACAATCGATGGAGTATGTCACCAGCGGGAAGTTTAGAAACGATGTTGAACAAACAAATTCCTCTCTGGTTTTCACTAGAGTATCCGCCACTTTTCTTGTAAATGGGTGTGATGACCTATTTACACTATTCAGTTGGAGCTTGTTCTCTCTCCTACACTAAGTCCAGGAGGGTTGTTAACTCCGAAAACGCATAAGGCCTCCAACCCAGACGAGCTGTCCCCAT